AAAGTACCGGACGAGAAGATCATAACACATTTTTCCGCCGACACCAATCACTATACCAATGACTAATATGATTATTTCAAATATCATCTAGAACATATACAAAGTTATAAGTGATTCATTTCATGATAGACACTTATGACCGAGGCTAGAATAGAACGCACATATTCACTATTTCGAATTGTTTCTCTATATTAATTAAGCTACTCGGTTACGTGTCATTCAACATAATAATTCTTTTCTGATCTTCGTCGTGAAAACGAATATAACAAATGTTAGGAAAAGTCATATCAATTGATAAAAAACTTTTCGTTCATCTTAGAAAAACTATTCAAATGAATAATAGCGACAAATGATATGTATGTAGTTTACTTAAAAAAAACAAAAACAAACGTTTGTGTTTATTTCTTCTTTTATCAATTTCAGATAATAATGTCATCATCAGTTTGTTATTATCAATTTAATCCATCGAAATATTATAACATTCATTTTCATCTCATTTAATATATCTCTTTTCATTATTTAATGAATATGACTATTTCATTCGAGTCTTTGACGAAACTGTTCAATATATTTTACTAGGATGTTTCAATAGATAATATTGATTCAGTAACAACAAATGATATATTAAAACTTATTCAAGATAATTAAAATATTGAACTTGTTTATTCACTTAGTGAACATTTTAGAACATTGACACTTATTGTCGATACAATTGTATGAGCAAGTTAAATAACTTATTAAAGTTACAGACTTTAATTTTTTCTTTTTTTATAATAAAAAGAAAAAAAAAGTTTAAAATAACAAGTTTTTAAACGATCAATTATTTGTCATATGGTAAAGACGTATCTATTGAGTTTACTGACAATTGAAGTATTGATACAAAACAAACAGATTTATCAATAAATAGTTTATCCATGGCTGAACCTGAGATTGTATATGATTATACAAATGAAATTAATGATCTAAATATGAATCGAATTCATTTTAATGGAAATAATTTAGATCACAACAAAAAAATTCTATTCGAGTTTTCTGTTATTTTCGGTTGAATTAACATATTTTCATAGAATAAAACAAATTTTTTTTTGTTTTTTTGATTCTAGATTCTTTAGTCATCTACTATCTGATGCTGCATTAGAAGCTATTTAGAAATATGTTATAAAATTAAAATATACCAAAAGATTTCTTATTGTGTGTTAGACTAAATAAATATAGTAAATTATTGTTAGGTCAACGTTATAGATGATGTTATAATAGAATATAAGAGGACTTACCTTGATGTTCAAGGCTACGCGATCAGTTGAGGAGGGGATGTAAGATCATTTTTGGATGGATAATTTATTTCATCAAGGAAAACACACACAAGAGAGGTAGTATTAAATGCTACTGCTCTCCACCAAAACAAAATAACAACTGAACTGGATCAAATTCTGAGAAAATCCGAAAGAGAGAGAAAGACAGAACGAAAAAGAAAAATCTAACTATAGAGTGAACGAAAGAGAAAAATCCCATTAACTACAGAACGAAAAGGAAGACACCGACAAATGAGAAAATAAGAGGAAGGAAACGATTGAACTTCATTCAAATAAGTTAGCGTCGACCTAGTGTCATCTGTTGACGCTAACAATTATAATCATAGATGTTTCTGGTAAACAAGATTTGAAGTGAATTAAAACTTATTCTTCCTAGTTGATTTACTGGATATATAATGAAAACAATTCTTGAACAACAAGTAGCTCCACTATTAGATGTACGAAGTTCTTTTTTTCTAATTTATTCTGATCGTTTATTTGTGTTTTTTTTAAAGATTTACCTGAATCATTGACAGACACGTTTGATTTAGAAAATTGATAGTTAAGTTGGATAAATCACTAATAGTTACTTCAGTTCTATAAAGATTTATTGTTTTTTTTTTATTATTTTTTGGTAAAATCTCTTGATCAACCACTGGTTTTTTTGCCTAGAAACTCATTGTGTTTGTTTATAGTTGAATTTGGTATCCATATATTCGATGTTCTTTCAAACAATGAACGTATCAATATCATATTGGTTGGCTGCTTTTGATTTCCTTTTCTCATAGAAAGGTTTATATCGAATAGAATTGGCAAATGCAAATTTCAAACATCGGTAGTTCCTTTCACAAAAAAAACCAGGAGACTTTTATCGAGAGCAGGAATCTACTTAGCTATTTTATTTGTAAGAAAGCTAAAATTAGAAACTGATCTGAGTCTAAACATCTCTAGTTTTCAGTTGACTTTACATAGTCTTGATGCTTTTCTGTTTTCATATAATTATATCAAATATTCCACTAATTTGATTGAGTATCTTACATAACAAAAAAACAAAGCTTTAGTTTCATCAATTTTATACTTCTTTGGTAATGAAGAATATTCTGAATTCGGTGACCATTACTTCTATGAAATTCGATAGATAACGTTTAGTTAATGTAATAGATGATAATGATAAAGTAGTAGCAGATTTCAAATTATTTTTCAATGAAACAAATAAAGATTTTTTTACAAGATCGCTTAAAAATTGTGATAAAAGATTTTCATCTGATAAATTTGAAACTTCATCGATTTTCCCCTTCTTCCATCTAAAGTATTTGCTTAAATATTCAAAAGATTGTTTCTTTGTATCTAGTATGTAAATTCTTCATATAGACTTTACTTATGAAAGTGACAACCGTAGTTTTAGTGATATCAACAAAAATAAAATGTTTCTTGTTAATTGTTGCATCTTTTGAATATTGTGACACTTCACTTTTCTTTTCCTTGTATTTTCTTAACAATTCAAATTATCACTAATATTTAAGGTAAGAAAAAAATCAAGAGACCAGGAAATCCAGGATTCTTCTGGCTAAATCAGAAGATTTGGCATCCCTGTGAGAAAGACTATGTCTCAAGAAAGAACCTGTCGAACATGCAATGCTCTCTTTCTTAAGCATGGAAAATTTCCATCCTTTTTTTGCAAATGAAATCAAATATGTTTCCTACGTTTTACTAGGAAGAAAAGTATTTTCTTCACATGAAAAAACCCACGGCATCTCTTACTATGTTAATTATCATGATTACACAGTTTTTCTCAAATTACCAATATGGATCATCCAAGTATATATTATGTTTTTTTTTGATTAACATGAATGTTCTTTTGATAATAACTCAATTATGTTTTTATGGAAGTTTTAGTTCGAGACTTTTAAATTTAGTCTTGAACAAAACATTTTAACAATTCCGAACATAAAGAAAAACATAACAATATTTGTCATATGAATCTGAAAAAATTAAAATATAAAAAAAATCAATTCCTAGATTTTTTTTCTAAATGTTTGCTTATGTGAAGAAGAACATTGAATAGTTCTTTCATTAGTTAAATAATCTTCTAATCGATAATCAAATAATTTAAAATCATCCTCATAAAAATATTTCAAATAACATATTAATTCATTATGTAAATTCGAATATAATGATTTATAATATTCTTTTGTTTTTCCCGTTGAAAAATACTTTTCATCATTTAAATTAATTGATTTTAATCCAAGATATGATTTGAATCGTTGAATATCTTCTTTCATTGTTTCACACTTTTCTATAAAATTATATTTAAATGCACAAACATGACATAATTTTGAATAAGGTAACCAATGAACATCGTCGTGTAATGAATTAGACATTACATAACGAATAAAATGTTCAAATTTTGTAACTATTTGTTGACAAGATTCTTTTACTGTGTTTGGTATGCGTTTATGAATACGATAAAAACGTCTTTCAGCTATTGTTAAATAAAACAAAGAATATTTTCGACAAATTACTCGACGAACACTCTCATATAATGAAAACGATTCATTTTTAAGCGAAGCTATTTTATCAATATAAGCTGATGCTAAACGTTCAAATGAGTGACGAACAAAAATTGCACGAGTAAAATTTGATGAAAAAAAAATATGGATGGATCGGTTAAAGTATGAAGACGAATAAGAGGAAGGCTTTCTTTTCCATACATTGACCATAAATCAATATTTTTTGATTGTTTTATTAAATGCCATAAGACGTGATAGAAATGATTCAAGCATTGAAATTGCCTTTTGTTTGGATGGTCAAGTATTATTCTAAAATTTTCTAGACCACATAAAAATCAATTCTCTTCTGATTATTAAACTTAAAAAGTAAAGCGAAATGTCTCAATAGATAAATATATCTTTGTATTTTTTGACGATAGAGACATCATTACACTTGGAATTTATTCATAGAAATACAACCCTTTAATATGAATATGTCAAACAGAAGAAAAAAGCGTGATTTTATTATTTATTCTTTTACTCTTCACCTTCTTTTTATAATCTTAGATTTTTCAATGAGACGAATGTAGATAAAAACGAAACCTTATAAAATTCTGTTAGAAGGACAGAAGAAACTTAATATTCTTATTTTTACCTTAGTTGAAGAGAAAAGCATTTGATTGAAATAAGCAACATCAAACATATTGAAATTATTTCTGGAACTTGGACTTTTATCAAGTGTTGTAAGATTTGTTAGTAAAGGAATTCAATCATCACGTATATGAAGATAAGTAATAAATTTAAGTAAAGCTCGTGTTGCTACTTTTGGAACTGAACAATAAAATAATGAATGAGATTGAAGAAGAAAACCAAGATAATTTATTATTTTATTTTGACGAGTTATATTTAAAAGAGTTTGACGTGATGATGTACTGTTATTAAAACATTGATTTCGGTCATCGTAACCAGATGATACGCTTTATAATGAAATATTCGATCTTTGATGAATATTTAATAAATATGTAGAAGATAATGATTGAGTAATAGATGAAGTTTGATATAATTGATTAGCTATTTTAGAAATAAAATCTATTCAATATGTAATAAGCTCATATTATCTATTACCTGTTTTATAACTAATTGACAAAAATAAAACGATTCCAATGAAATAAAATATCGATGAAAAAAGTTTTTTTCTTACAAATAAGTAAAAAACACGATGCATCATTACTTTAATGAAAAAATTTGCTTTTCTTATTAGATAGATTTATGTCAAAAAAAATCTCGCTTTCTGTTTCATGAAAAAAACGAAAGCATTTGTTTTTTTTGCTTTTTATTCCCACGTCATCTTTTTACGTGACAGGAAGACCAGAGCATGGAAAAACATACGTTGACTTCTTATTAAAATAAACTTGAAAAGAGAAGCAATATCAAGAGATCTATACTAACATAGATACGAAAGTTGTTTTCTTAAAACCAAAGGAAACAATATCCAACTTTTCCATTAAGTTTTGACAAGCAAAAAGAACTGTGATGTAGCTAAATATTTTTCTTTTCTAACTGTATCAATGAACTTTTAATTTCAATTTGATGTAATCAAATTTAAAAATAATTTTACTAATCGAATAAACATGTAAAATACTACATTAAGAAATAACAATAAAGAGAATAAATTTAATAAAAAATATGTTTTAGTTTTTTTTTTTTTTGTTCTTAAAAGAATATACAACATATATAATAATGACTAGAATATATAAGACACAAAAATAAAAGGAAATAAATGCTTAAATGAGATTTGGTTTTTGTATTATACGAGATCGACTAAAATTTCCATTTTGAGATTGAGATTGTGATAGTCGATTGAGATCATTTAAATCGAAAAATTGACTTTCACGATCCGTTAGTAAATGAATAGATTCTAAAAAATAAAGAATTTTGTTTTATGAAGTTTTTTATTTATAAATTATTTGAACTCATATTAACATAAAACTTATCCAACATGAAATCGATCAATTAGAATTAAGTTGATTCATAATGAATATTTCTATCGATTTTTTTTATAATTTATCTTGAAAAATTGTTCTTCGCAGTAGTCAAAAGACTAATTCTATCAATTATAATAATCGATGTATAAAAAACTAAACATCTATTTATTTTGTTTATATGTCAATGATTATTATAATAAAAATAAATCAAAAAAGATAAACATTGATGAAGATTTTTCAACATCGCATAAATTAGATTATGTAGTATGTTCTAAAAGATATCATAGAATAATAAATCCATAAAAAGAGTTTACGAGTCTTATGAAGCTTTCATATGTTTTACAGCAGTGTAATAAACGTTTCAAGAAATTATTATTATAATACGTTGCATTTTCATAAAATGCTATAGACTAATCAAAATAATAAACTCTGTGAAGATTTTGTGAAATTCATATAAACTATAAAACAAATTATAAAAGTTGAATGAAGAGTTAATTATTCTGTACTTTTTTTTAATAATGTACCAGGAAATCATTTCTGAATGGTTTATCTTATTTTTTGATTTATACTCAGATAATTGAATCATTCTTTAGACTTTTATTTAATAATAAGCTAATTTTGAATAAAAATTCTTTTTTAAAACTAAAAAAATAATTTAATATAAAATTAACCTATAGAAATACTTGACATCGATGAAGATAAATTAGCATTAAGGCATGCTGCTGCTGATGAAACTGAATAATAATGAGGATGATGTCGAAATGTTCGATGATGATGTAATGATGCATGTCTAGTACTATTATTTCTTGTTAAACCATTTCCACTATTAACTCCATTTTCAGAACCATCTTTATGTTCATCTAATGATGGTAAAAATGTTTCAAACATTGCTTCTAAACAATTAACAAATAATTGAACATTATCAGGATTTTGTCTTGATACAGTAAATGGTCCAGCAAAACGCCATAAACCACCAAAACCACATGATTGTAAATAACTAAGTTGTTGTTGTTGACTTACATCATTACCTGATGAACAAGCAATCATTTGATATATTATTGATTGTACTGATGCTAATATTGATTCATCATGTGATAATGAAAGTACAGAATTTATTTTTGCATCTAATAAATTATGTATAACAGGAAATACTTTAGGAAAAACAATATTTGATTCTGATAAATATTCATATATAATTCTCATTTCATTTTCATCCGATGTATTACGCACAAGTGTAGCTAATACAGTTAAAGATAATGCTTGTGTTGATGTATCTGTTAATACATTAGGATCTTATAAATGATTTGTTTCACTACTTATCTAAAACAAAAGAAAAAAAAACAAAAAGAAAATTTTTTAATTTATTTATTATAAACAGCACGAATCTTACTTCTGATGTTTGTTGTGTTTCAGATGAAGTTTGTTGTGTAACAGCAATTGTTGGTACAACTTGTTTAACTTGTTGTAATTGTACAAGTGTAGAAGTTGGTTTTGTTAGAATACGTGGTACAGCATGTTCAATATCAAATGAATGCCAATGACGTACATGTGATGGCACAGTTAATAATCGAGCACCATAACAGTTACTACACTACCAATTTGTCGTGTTTTATCAATATATGATGCATCCCAAGATTTTTGTCAACGAGGAAATAAACCTTGTTGAATATTAAGTAATGTTGAATTTGTTGTTTGATTTGTTAAAACATAGGATTGATGATGATGAATTATCTCCTAGACCAGCAAAATCAGCAATTGATGTTGCTGAATATGACTGTGATAAATATGATAATGGATGAACAGTTGATATTGATGAATAATGAAATGGTAAAATAGTTGTTGAATTTGAATTTGTTGTCGATGATATAATAATAGATCGATGTTTAATTGGACATTGAGTACGAACTTCTTCAACAACACTAACTAATGCAGCTAAATATGGTACTGATGTTGATGTTACTTTAAATTTATCATGTGATTCAGATTTAGCAACAATACTAAGAAGAATTGAAAGAACACGAGTTGTACGAGCAACAGTTGATTGTACTGGATGACGAAATCCTAAAAATTTTATTCTCAAATTTATTCTTTTTATTTAACTATGATCATCGAACAAGAAAAAAAAAGATAATATTCTATCTATTATATTCTATATAACTATTCTCCTAAAATAATCCAATAACTGTAATCTTTGTTTAACAAATACATATTAACAGACGTCATATGATTATATAGTATAGTTTCGAACCTAAAAAACTTGGTTATTGATTGTTCTTTCCTGTTGTTACCTACTGCATATTTACCGAAGAAGTTCTTGAAATCAAAACAATAAAAAAAATTTTATTAATAATAAGAAATTCTTCAAACTTTAGAAGCAATCAAGACTAAATTTTGCTCTATTTTGATATGAAAGCGTGAAATGATGAATTTATTTGATAAAAAAAATCCACTCGTGACTATCTCTTTTGTTCTATCTATATCTATGATTCATCTAAAATTTGTATTCGATAGAAATCGAATATATATTATTCATACTTTTCTTATTCAAACTATTGCACTAAAATGAACAGTCATTATACAGATAGTAATAAGATATTTTCATTATTGTTTTTCTTATTTGAAATTTCAATTTATTTAGTTGAATCAACAACAAATTTCGATTGGATTGTACGAATTCGAACAATTATTCAAAATTCTAATAGTCAAACAATTAGCTTTGATAAACTTAAAAAAGAATTAAGTTGATATCAATTTAATTCAATATATATATTGTTGTTGTTTTTTTTGTTATCATTTAATAGATTATTAAACAATATCGTCAAGTAAAACCTGATTCAGATAAATCAACAAAAGAATTAACAAATGAACTTGAAAAAAAATTAGCAAAAGCTTCATTTATTACACGACTTGGAAATGACATTTATTATCTTTATTATTTTAAAGATGAAAAGATTAATACATATTTATGATAATAACCTTTTATTTCGATAAAAATGTCAGTTTCATTTGTTTTTTTTTCTTGATTTCCTATCATTAATGTTATGCCATAACTTTTATATGAAAGAAATAAAATGATAACTTTGAAGTATATCTATTGAGTAAAAGATCATATTTGTTGATCGATTTCGGTATTTAGAATGAACGATCCACCACGATATTGTGAAACGTTCAGCTCAGAAGAGATTCTATTTACTGTACAAAACGTTCCTGAAAGTGAAGAAATAAGTCAGAAAACAAAATGATCAACCGTTCTGAACAAGAACTCGATGCAAACTAGTCTTTGCTGTTGTAAGAAGAAGACTTCTTTCTAAAATCGATCCTTTTCTTTGATTATGTGTCTTCCCTTGTCACGTTCGTTCGACTTCGTCGTCGAATCATATTTAAAACACATTGTATTGATTTTTTCAGCCGTAATAGAGAACAATCCATCTTTTTAACTTTCGATGTAGACTTCTTTCGCGAACGAATGATCAAAATGAAAGTGAGATATGTTGCAAATGAATTATCTTTCTAAAGATACACGTGGAGAAATCTGTGGTTCAAAGTATAATACAAGAAATCGATCTCTAAATAATGAAATATCGTTGAGAATCTCATATTCGGCTTCATCTATTCAATCTTTGTTGAACATAGTAATTGCAGGTCAATCGATGGAGATATTCTTGGCCAAGCTTGAACACTACTTTCTTCTTCTTCGAATAAAATCTTCTTGAAAAAAGTTAGTTTGGAAGACGATTGTTCTTTCAACTGAATATATTTTACTTGTTTTATTTTATTTGTCGAATGTCCCTCGTTTATGTTCAGAACTATTCACTTTTCAAGTCGAGGACTATCTCTTTTGATATCATAGAGAAAATGTTTCGTTCCATCGACATGCGCCGAAATATGATTCACTATCAACACATCGAAATTGAAGACTTGCTCATTAATATTATTGACAATAATCAAATAGCTCTACGATGGAAATCGTGATAGCTTAATGTATTTTAATATATCGGATGGTCCATAATGAATGAGCACCTGCATATTTTTGTGATAACTCATGTCCTTTTCAACCGTTTGATCTCATTATTTTCTTAGTAGATGTGTCATCAAATTCTGTGCAATACGGCATATTTTATTTCGTTTAAGTGGCTTTGATCTTTTTTCAAAATAAGGCAAATCTTTTTGCATCGTACATCACGAGAAAAAGCTCGCTTTATTCCACTAAAATTCAAGTACATCATTGTTCAATGGTAGAATAAGTATCTAAGTTTTTTCAGAAGAACACTTTGTAGAAAGTTCTATATGTTAAAGCAGCGAAGTATTGATCGGTCATTTTTTTCTAACTAGAAGTGTAGAGAAAACATTCTTATGTGATTTTGTAGAGATCTAAAGGGGGAATCTTTTGAGATGAGACACAAGATTTTACTATGAAAGCTGGCCGAGAAAAATACGAAATGTCAATGGTCTCATTCTTTATGACGTATCCATTAATTACTAGTTTTGTAATAACATTCATTAGTGTAAGTCAGTGATATACTGACAGTTGGTATACTGCCTCTCACAAGAAAAGTCTTTTCGTTTGGTCTATCAATAGCAGATATACTTTTCACTATCAACATCTATAGATAAAAGTTGGGTAATGAAAAAATTAAAAGAAATCTAATTTATCCTAAATTAGCATAAGAGACTAATCTGGTTTAGGAGCAAATGCTTCTTTTTAGATATTTATCATTGAGAAGGTTGTTCACCTAGTAACGAAGGAGAGTAAAATGGAATAATGGGTAATGACAGAACATTTTGGAATGGATAGCAGGCAGTTTTTATCATGTTTCCCTTGAAAATAACGAATATATTGTGCTCAAACTTTCCAAATGTCATCAAATATTTGATTATTGTTTCCACTCTTTTATGTGACGATATATGAGACTTTTCGTTATTTTTTCATACATCACAATCGCAAATATTTCTGTTCATGTCCATCAAATGCATTGATTTATTTTATTTCAAATAAAAATAAAGGTATCAAAAATAAAAACAATAATAAAAGATGTATTATATTTCTCCGACAAAGAATAAAACAAAACTCACTGAAAGAAATAAATTTCATAGTTGCTACGTAAATATTTCATGATGACTAATGATACCCAGGTCAGTCATGCTCGGTCGTACACGGCCGTATACCAACTAATTACGGCGGAGAACGGCAGCTGTTTTCGTTAGCCATATACTGCAATCGTAAACGATGCTTTACGACGAATTACGGCTATCGTAAAC